TGCCAGTGGGGTGGGCGAGATGCGTGAAGGGGGCCGAGGGGCACCAACTTCCAGGTAGAAGATAAGCAGGTCCCGGGAAGTAACGCACGGCGTGCTGACCGGAGTCAATAACACGCGTTGTATATTTGGAAGTCGCTAAGGGAGTAGATCTCAGAAGTTGTAACTGTGTGCTGACAGACTGTTCACCAGACTTACTGAGATCGTTTCACAAAATACACAAACCCCAGATCACTGGGTTGTGCACCTAACACTAATATCATGCTCCATGTGAATTGCACCCCAATTTCTTTTTTTTTTTTTTTAGATTTTATTTATTTGTCGGAGAAGAGTGCACAGGCAGGGGGAGCATCAGAAGCAGGCTCCCCGCTGAGCAGGGAGCCCGATGCGGGACTCGATCCCAGGACCCTGGGATCATGACCTGAGCCGAAAGCAGATGCTTAACGACTGAGCCACCCAGGTGTCCCTGCACCCCAATTTTAAAAAGGAAGAAATTTTGCCACATGCTACCATGGGGCTGGACCTGCGGACATGAGACACTGTGGGACCCCACTTCTCTGAGGGACCCGGAGTCGTCAGGCTCACAGAGGGCAGCGGGGGGCCAGGGAGGGGGCGTGTTTCATGCGGACAGAGTTTTAGTTGGTGAAGGTGGAAAGTTCTGGAGACAGCTGGCTACACAGATGTGAAGGCGGTGAAGGCCCTGAACCGGACACACACACATGGTTAAGACTGTCCGTTCTAGGTTATGTGTAATTTAACACAATAAGGAGAAGGGGGGAAAGAGCCTGTCTCAGCCACTGCTCTGGGCCTGATGGGGCCACAGGGAACAGCCGCCAGGAGGGCAGGTGACAAACCCATGCCTGCCAGCCTGGTGGAGCCCCTTGTGGCTCTTCTGTGGGGGAAATGGGACTGAGCAGCCAGCTCACAGGTGTGGGCAACAGCGCTAGCAGGCCTCTGGCCAGGAGCAGGGCTGAGTCAACAGCAAACGAGGAGGGCGGGGCAATGTCACCCCCCTGCCTTCACGGCGCTGCCTCGCAACAACCAGGCCCAGCTCACACACCCTGGCCCGCCCAGCAGCTCTGCGTCCCCTCTGGGGCAATCTCAGCCTAGTGAGTGTCTCCGGCATGGCAGAGAGGGGTGGCTGAGCCTCCCCTGCTGGGGTGGAGGGGGGGCAGCTGCTCCCCAGCCCCCCATACATGCGCGGGCACCAGGGGCCTGCTGGCCTGTGGCCGAGCACAGAGCCAGCTGACGGACACAGCCTGGAGGGCCCCCAACCCTCCAGACCGAGAATCACCTTGTGACCCAGCCGTCCTACTCCTCCGGCTCTGCCCCAGAGACTCAGACTCGCAGCCCAGCGTTCACAGCGGCCAAGATGGGGAAGCCATGCAGGTGTCCGCTGCTGGACGGTGGGCCCAGTGTGGGGCGTCCATATCACGGAAGCACGGACACGCGAGTGTGGGAATGAGCCAGAAACAAGGCGAACGCTGCAGGACCCGCTCACTCGAGGTCTGGGAGCCGTCAGACCCACAAACACAGCAGAGCCGGGGGGTGGGGGGGCCTGTGTTTCCGGTTTACAGGATGCTAAGAGCTCTGGAGACGGACAGGGCGATGGTGTACTTAATGCTCCCCCATACCTAAGACTGTTAGGAGGGGGACGGCTCGGTCAGTTGAGCCTGGGACTCCTGGTTTCAGCTCAGGTCATGAGCTCCTGGTGGGATCACGCCTCAGGCTGCCTGCTCAGCGGGGAGTCTCCGCTTCCTCTCTCCATCTGCCCCTCCCCCTGCTTGTGCAAGTGCACGCTCTCAAATAAATGGTTAAAATGGTAACTTTTATGCATATTTTACCACAATAAAAATAATCATTTTTTTTAACCCAAGAACCAGGTGGGTTGGCTGCCCCAGAGATGGGTGCTGCCTGCCCAGCCCACTCCTCAGCAGCCCCCTGCCAGCCACGCGCCCACCCAGGGGACCCTCTCCCAAACGAGGCCAAATTCCTGGAATTCCCCCCACCAAGTTGCTCTGCCCTGGCTTACAGCAAGTTCAGCAAGTTCTGGAGAGTCATGTCCGCCACGAATCCTTCCCGGGCTGAGCGAGCAGCTTCTGCTGAGATCACCTGCCTGGCTGAGCAGATACCACCTCCGGTCGTGGCTGAGCCGCAAGGACAGTTCCCCCAGGCCTCTCAGAGCCAGACCGTCTGGGTCCTGGCTCTGGAAACATGCCTGGAGCAGCCCGGCCTGCATGCAGCCGTCTCAAACCATCTGTCTTGTCAGAAACGAGGACTCCCTCACGGTGTTGACCGTGCACGTCAGAAGGCCCAGGTGCTCTCAGAATTGGCTTTACCTGGTGTTTCCAGGTAACTCAGATGCCCAGGTGACATGCATCAAAGGACCACACGATTATCACCCACGGCCAAACCCAACTGAAGACGTGAGAGCCCCTAAGTCCTTCCGGGGCATCGGACCTGAGGCTCAAAGGAGAGAATCTATCATTTGTTCCAACTACGTGGGCAGCTTGGAGGACATGCAGAGGCCCACCCCCCTCCCTTGACCCCAAGATGGAGACCCCCACCCAGGCCTTGCAGGGGAAAGGGTTGCAAACGCACCCACTCCCTCAGGCCTGTCACTTCTCTGGGAGGCTGTTAGCTGGGTCCCACGCGCAAAGGAGAGGGGAGCCTACTACTGAAGCAAGTCCTGTGGGGCTGCAAGGACTCCCTCACCCCAAGGCTGCCTCCCTCCCAGGAGCCCTCACCTGGCCAGTTGGCCCACGAGGGCCATGGTGGTTAGAGGTGGCCCAGGCCTGCCCTGCCCCCTGGCCCCGGCAATGCCCTGCTCCCGGCTGGCTGTGGTCAGGCAGGGCAGCCATGAGCCAGTCCGTGTCACCACAGAGTGGCCCCTAGCTGCTCGTCTGGGCCAGGGCAGGCACAGTGGCACAGAACCTGGACAGACCAGATGGCTCCATCCAAGCAGCAGATACTGTGGGCGGGCATTCCACTGGGGTCATGAGGGAGGAAGCAGGGCAGCAGGCCTTGCCCCCGACACCCCTGGAGCAGTGGGGAAGGCCAGCAAGGGGGGCAGGGCTACATCAAGAGACCTGCTCTGCCTTTGAAGCCCCACATCCCCCAAGGCGGCTCAAGTTTCCAAAGTCTCAGTTTCCCCAGCTGTGAAATGGGGGCGATGGCCAGCATCTTGCCTGTTCCACAGGGCTGCCAGAGAGATAAGGCAAGATGCTGGTGTCATGGGCCAATTCTGAAAAACCAGAGGCTTGGCCCAATGCCTGGGAAAGCTGGGCTTGTAAGAACTGACCGCTCTGGAGCCCAGCGTGCCTGCCTCGGGGCAGTGGCCTCTGGCTGAGTGGGGGGGGCAGGGCATGACACTGCCCACTGGGAGGGGAGGGGCCCCTGCAGGGCCCAAGAGGCCAGGAAGCCCCCTGTCCCACCTGCCCACCCCGCAAAGTCACTGGAGGGAGGCTGTGGGTCCAAAGATGCTGCTCCTGAGCAGTGTACCCGGGAAGGAGAGGGACAGGGCCAGCTCCCCCTCCCCCGACCCCCTGCCCGAGGCTCTCCTGAACAAGGGAAAGTGCAGGTCTGGAAGAGGGAGGTGGGGAGCGTGTGAGCGGTGCCAGCCAGTGGGCAGGAGCAGAGCACGACGGTGGTGCCGATGCTGCCCCCACGGCACCCTCAGGGTGGGCCCTGCGACTCCCCGGGGCTCAGGAGGCTGGGGGAAAGGCCACCGCAGTTTGCCCGGCTTCCAGAGAAGACTGCCACTGGCTGCGGGACACTCTAGCTCCTGGTATAGCCTCTCTTGGCAACACCATAGCTGACCAGCAGATTCCCAGGACCTGGGGGCCCCCCCCCAGCCCAGTGGGTGGGCAACAGAGGAGGGCTGGTGCCCGGGTCCCTTCTGGAGTGCCCAGAGGCTGCGTGTCTCAGACTGCCATCTCAGGACAAACGCAGGCCCCCTCCTTGGGGGGCTTGTGCCAGGTGTGTTCTAAGGAGTCTGGGCTAGGAGCCCCCAGTGGGGTGTCCAGTGTCCCCCTGGAGTGCCTGGGGAACAGCCCTTGACTGGGGCCACCCTCCACCCTGGGGTGACATGAGCAGGTGAGGCTGCCCCACCCCCACCCTCAGCAAGGACTAGGGGTGCTGCCGATGGCTCAGAAGCAGGGTTCTGCTGGCCTGGAAGCACCACCTGTCCTTTTCCTGACAATCCCAGGACAAATCGCCCCAGGAAGGGAGGGGAAGCTCCTCAGGACTCTGGCACCTTGGAAATCACCCCAGAGCAGGGCCACCCAGGAGCAAAGTCCAGGAGATGCCTGCTGGGAGGATGGGTGCAGGTGGACCGGGAGCTTGTTACAGGCTGCACCTGCCCGAGGGCCCCACCTGAACTGGCCACCTGCCCAGAGCAGCCGGTTGCCAGGGTGGGGAGAGGGGAGCCCTTTCCTACAGGCTTCCTCCCCCAGCCCCCTGCGTGCAAAAGGGTGGCCCCTGGCGGAGGGGGGCGGCATGACGTCACCTCCAGGTGGTGGGGAGCCAGGTGGACCCCCACACCCACGCACAGAAGCCCCCAGGGCGGCTTGCCCTTTCTCTCCCTGCAGAGGCTCGCCCGCGCGATTTCCTCTTTCTCTGCGGAGCCGAGGTTTCGCAAGGCGGCGGCGGTCCGTGGGTGACAGCGAGACACGCAGCCCGGGGGGGAGGGGAGGCGACACAGCCACAGGCCCCGGGGCCGCTGGGAGGCGACGTCCGGCTCCATGCAGGTGCACCCGGGGCCCGCGCCCCCCCACCCCCCCGGCCACGCAGGCGCCGCAGCACCCTTCCCAGTCCCCGGGGCTGGCATCCAGGCCGGCACCCACCCCGGGCCGCACCCATCCCGGCCCCGCACCCACTCGCGCCGGCGCCCACCCGGGCCCGCGCCTCCCAGGGGCGCACCCACCCCGCCCCACATCCAGCCTGGCCCCGCACCCACGCGGACCGGCCACGACCCTGGGCGCACCCACCCGGCCCGCACCTACCCGGGGAGCCGCAGTCGGCGCATCTCGTGTTCCCCGGCCGCTGCAGCAGCTCCAGGACGGCCCTTCGCCGCTCCTTGGCCATGGCCGCGATGCTGGCCGCCCGGGATGCCGGCCCGGGGCCCGGAGCGTCCGCCCCGCCGCGCTAGGGCCCCACGCAGGCTGCCCGCCGCCCGCGGCCCTGCGCCATCCTGGGCGGCCTCAGCCCGCGCGCCGGTTCCGCATTCCTGCCGCCGGGCCCGGCTCCGCCGCCGCCGCCGCCGCCGCCGCCGCCGCTGGTGTCTCCGCCGCGGCCGCCGAGCGTGTGCCGGCGC